CCTCAAGGGCGCCGACAAGGCCATGATCTTCTTCATCTGGGTCTTCGGCATCTTCTACTCGCTCGCTTGGTCCGGTCTGCTCGTCGGCTACGCCATCGAGGTCCTCCCTTACAGACTCCGCGGCAAGGGCTTGATGATTATGAATATGTCCGTGCAGTGCGCGCTTACCCTCAACACCTATGCCAACCCTGTCGCCTTTGAGTACTTTACTCCTGATCACTCTTGGAAGCTTTACCTCATTTACACCGTAAGTTTTTTTTCCTTCTCAGAAAACATTTTTTTGTTGCTGTAACATAGGTATACACTTACTAACACGATCACATGAAACAGTGCTGGATCGCCGCCGAGTTCGTCTTCGTCTTCTTCATGTACGTCGAGACCAAGGGCCACACTCTCGAGGAGCTCGCTCAGGTCATCGATGGCGACGAGGCCGATGTTGCCCACATCGACATTCACCAGGTCGAGAAGGAGATCGAGATCCACGAGCACCACGAGAGAAAGTATGCTTAAGCGTTTCTCTTGTCTCGGATGCTCTCTGCTCTTTGGTGATCGTTCCACCAATTTGGGGAAAATCCCTTCTACGACACTCACCAGTTAGTTGGCTAGCTGGATACGAGTGTTTTGCTTGCTGTTTGGAAAAGTTACGATATGAAAGCTTATATTGTTAATATTTTACGATGTTAATTGAGTGGCATGATGGGCGACGATGGTCGACGGGATGGAACTGGAAATGGAAGGGAAGGGAAGGGAAGGGAAGGGAAAGTTGGAATATCCTGGTAGCGTTATTATACCCTCTTTGTTGTTGTCGTTGGAATAGTTTTGAAAGAAAGTACGATAATGGAACTTTTTGTTGCTTGCACTTTTTGGTTTGTCTTTTTCGCGTGCTTTCTTCGAAAACTTTGTTGTTTTACGGGAGAAGAAACAGTGTTGGCGATGCCTTCATCTTTCACAAGGCTACGTACGTCGTGGAACCAACCAACCAACCGAGGAATCACCACCAACAATGAACGATCACAACGGACAGTTTCAGTCACGACGACGAGAAGTGACGGAAGAATTGCCAAGCAACCACCTCCTCAGAAAGAAAGAATACGCAACAACTGAAAGTCGAGTTTTCTCGATTTGCTGCCAGAATGGCGAACCCTACCTAACGTACCTCATCATGCTCGCTCATGTTGCTGTAGCGGGATGGCAGGGAATCCAGTCATTATCACCGTTCTTCCCTTCTTTCATCTGGCCCAGCCCCATCCACTCACTCACTAGGTGTTCAGACATGCCATGCCCCAAGAAATCGAGGACAGCAACATACTGACCAGGCCAGATCTAGTACGGAACAGCTCAGCTCATTGGGGATCCCGAAACCCACTGCATGTGGGAAAAGGGGCGGCGCCAGCTCAGCAAACATGTGGAGGCACCTCAACTTCTCCAGTCCAGTCCAGTGCTCCGCATGGGTGGGAGGAAGGAAGAGATGGGATGGCATGGGATGTACTCCGTGTGAGAGAGAAAGGGAACTGAAACTGAACTGACCAATGACTGTCCTCGCAACCCGTATGTACTCCGGGACCAGACCGGGTAGAGTGATGGAGAGCAAAGCGGCTAATGCAAGAGAATGTTCTCTCTATTTAGCCGGCCGGATCTACAAGTGTCTGTCTGTCTTGGCTAGCTTGACTTCCGGGTAAGTTCATGTACCTAAAGGTAGTGTAGAGGTACATGCATACCCGTCCGTCCGTCCGTCCGTTTGTCTCAGCGTTGCGTGGGTACATATGTACCTAGCGTACCTAACTTTTACTTCACCCCATGAGTTGAGGGACAAGACACATCGTGAGGTATGTATCAGAAAGTTAAAGTTGTGTTCCTTGGTCTCGGTAACCGACCCGGATCGTGGGTATGCTTGCTTTATTGCTTGCTCGATGCATTGTAGACTAAGATCTCGGGCACAAGGACATGCATGGATGGGGTTGCTGGATAAATGGGAAAACGTACGTGTAGTTGGGGACGTGGAGGTGGAGTAATGTATGGGGGTGAACTATGAAGCACGAGGAGTGAAATGGGGAAGATAAAGAGGAGCTACATACCCGGAATACGTGAGGAGCGGAGTGTGGAAGTTGTATTGGCGGTTGCGTGGGAAGGAAGGATTGAACCTTGGCGAAGGGAGCGGTTCTTAGGGGAGCCCATCTGACCGGAGGCAACTTGGGCAAGACACTCGCCAGTTCCGGTTGTCTGGTTGGAACTTGAGCCGTTTGGCGAAGGTCTCGGAGGTACCCATCGTGCTGTCGTATTGAGGGCAGCAGCACTTCAGTCCACTCCCTTCATTTCCCGGAGATCGTTACTTCCAGATCAGGGATTTGGTGACGAAGAAGCGACGATTGAAGGATTATCGATCAACAGCACATGTTCCGACGAATACCACCACCAAGACTGTCCACTACTACTACTACTACTACTACTACTACACACCTACAGGCTTCCAGGCTACATGGACGGCGAATCCAGCGAATCCAGGGTACACCCCAGCCCCAGGACCACTCGCCGACGGAAGGTTAAACCCACTTGCCACTTCACTCACTGCCCATACTTTTACTCCCAACCGCCGCCAACCTATCGATCACTCCAGATCTCCAACTCCAGATCGATAGCTCTAGGCTCAACGTCCATCTCCCCCGCAGTGAGTTTCGCCCCTTCGTCCGTCACCAGACTTGCCAGACTTGCCAGACTGACCTAGACGGACCGTGGACTGGACGAGACTGCCAGCTCGACTTCAAGTGAAAATATCCAGAACGGACACTCATCCCATTCTTAGAGGGACGATTCCAGAGTAAACTGTTGCTAACGGTCATCCAGATTCCAGAGCACGAGACGTCAACAGCGCTGAAATTGAGGTACCAGACCTGTCCCCGGATGAGCAAGGACACTGTGTAGGACTGTTAGTAGGCACACTTGAACGCCAAATGGAGTGGTAAGTGGCGTCCAAGGCGTAGAGATAACCAATCGCTGGGAAGAGTATGAGTGAGCGCCATTTTCTGGTAGGTGCAACTACCTACAATTCCTCATCCCACATTGCCAACGAATACTGCACATCAGGTAGGGCCCCAGACTAGAGGCAGGTAGGTAGGATGCATAGAGGTACATACTTGACCTAGGGGTCCTGTTGGGAGCCTGCATGGGACACGCGAGGGCTGCTCCAAGAAGTGGAACTTGGAGTCCAGTCAGCAAGAGACTGGTGGACCTCAGGGCAACCTTGACCTCACAGCCAGCCTCCTCCTGGAAGCCTGACAATAGAAGGGCGTGGGACTGACTGACTAAGGCAGGTAGCTAGCTACGAACGTACACAGTCATTGGACAGTGGACAATAGGGCGCCTATTGTACGCCCTAGAGACCCAGCCCTCTGGACACTGATACGAGCCCAACATATGAATGGGCTAGAGCAGACTAGAGGTACCTGATCCATCGTGGACCCGGGGAATGGAACCGGTTAAATACATCCCGGTTGGCCCAGATGGGGTCTTTAGGTACCTACCTCTAGGTACCTCTACGTACCACGAGGTTGGAAAGAAACCATGAGGTTCATGCAGGTTTCAGGAGAGATGAAGATGTCGAGACGGTGAGGAATTGGAGATAGCCAGCGGGGGACTACTACAATAGGTGGACGGATAGGTAGCGAGGACTCCGGCTGGCGGTGTCGAAGATGGAGTTAAGTCCAGTTGGATTCCAGTTTGAGAAATCAGAAGATCTCTGGACTGTTCTTTTCGACGAGGATGGTATGCTAGACTGGGTCGCAGGGAACTAGGTAGGTAGGGGAGAGCGTGGGTACCTAAGAGACGTGACTGTCCTGCAGGTTGAAGTTCTCCTATGAGCAACAACAAAGTGAAATCTTTCAACAACGCTTCAATCAAAATAACCGGGCACATAACCATCCTGTTACCACAACATCATACCTACCTACCTACCAAACCACGTCTAGGTATCCAAACACCACATTCATTCCATCGGAAACTGTCAAGTTTACAGCCCATGCAACATCACCAACCGCGCGTCTACTTAGTACAACCTTCATCTCAAACCGCACGACGCAGTGCTACAGTCCACACTCTGCCAGGTAACCGTCCGTCAAAAGAGCACCTCACTTTGAGAGCAGATCCCAAAGCTCTTTACAGGTAATGAAGTGGTGAGATACCCCTGAGCAGTGCATGCAGAGCGTCGCGAGGCTCACGGGTTACATCAAAACAATCTACCTACATGAGTTTCATGAAACAGTACAGTAGCATCGACCCAGCTGCGACGAAAGATGAGCTATGTATGTGATCCACGAGCGGCCCGTCGCCCGCGGATTCGGGACGACGTTCAATTTCATTTGGCTGTTACGGGGCTAGCCTGGGATATATCGAAGTCTTATATAAACCCCCTCGGTGCGTGCCACTTCAATTACTCTCCCGCTCGACTTAGATTGGTGTCATGTCAGATACCTCTACCTCTATACGGGCAGGTACGAAACATTGCATCTGACGGGAAACTGGATAGCTCTGATTCGAGATTCTTACACTACCGCTGGTATAAGTATGGTAGTAGGTAGGCTAACGATAGCAATGGAGGGAAGAAATTTGGCCAGGTATATACTACCCGCTCCGCCTCCAACATATAGGCACCAAGACCCGAACTCCGGGCCACCTCGGTCACTCCTCAATGTCTTTACAACGCCAAAGACTATGAACTTTATGACCGATTCGGAGGCTTAGTTGACCGGCTAATCTCTTAATACGTAAAATATCTACAACACTCGTAAAACTCCGGTTGTGAGAGGCAATCATATTGCTAGACGGATACAAAAGATACCTGTAAACAAAAAGATCGGTTATAATACAATACGTGCGAGATAGAAGGGAACTCAAAGAACGAAGCACACAAGAATACATGTGAAGGACGCGAGGAGGAAAGAAAGATGAGCGAGCATAAAACCAAACCAAAAGCAGGAAAAGACAAAAAAAAAAAAAGGTGCTGGGAATGGCCACAGCCCGGAATCGAACCAGGACCCTGCCTTTCAGTCTTACTTACTGCCTTGCCTTACCACGCTTAAGATCCGCCTAATCGTGCGTGTGCTACCGCTACACCACAGGACCATTTGTTTCTCAACTGGGGGTGACGGAAACTGGTGAGAGGAAGGACCCTTATAAACCTAAGTACAGGTAGGTGTGCAGGTGTGCTGTATGAGGAAGGTGCGCTTCGTTGGGCCTTGGGCCTTGTGGTACCTTCCCTCGTTTGCCCTTGCGGACCGGCCTTCTTCCGGGTCCTTACTAAGGGGGGGGGACCTGAGGTTGTTTCGACTGCTGCTGGAGAGTTGATTACCACCACAAAAAGGCTTCCGTTACTCCACTGGTACTGCCGCAACGAACACGGCCTCAGCAACCTGCTTTATAGCTTCCTTCTTCGCCCACCCCAACGCCTCCTCAAACACCTCTTTTAGGTCTTCCCACTCCTCCAACCCAACACTAACCCTCACCTGCTCCGGCACCGCCCCATACCCCGCATGATACTTCCTCACGCTCTCCTCCGCGCCCCACAGCAAATCGTTGAAAGCCAAGGCAATCGTCAGATGTGCGCCCAGATGCGGGCCCTGGTGGACATGCAAATGGTCGTAAAACGCCTTCGCCACTCTCTTCGAGGGAAAATCGATGGACAGCAAACAGCCGAAGCCGGGGGTGAAGGAGTCGTTGCCTTCCATCTCGTCGTAGGGCGGGCCGGTGGGCGCGGGGGCAGTACCGGAGCGCATGTGGTGGAGGTAGTAAGCGGTGCCCGCGGTGGAGGACGTGTTGGGAGGGGAAATGGATGGGTAGAGGACGCGGGAGATTACGCGGGGGGATTGGTGGGTGGTGGAATAAGTGTGCAGGAGGGAGGCGAGCATTTGGGCGTTGAGGTTGTGCGTGTTGGAGCGGGCGAGGTAGGAGGAGGAGTTGGAGAGGAGGTGGGTGGCGTCGGGTGGGAAGAGGGTGTTGTGGTGCGTGGTGGTGAGGGTTGAGAGGAGGAGGGAGTGGTAGCGCGAGGAGGGGGAGAGGAGGATTGAGCCGGCCATTACCTGGGGAAGGGTTAGTGTTTACTTTGATGAGTGGGAGCGGAAAGGGGGAGGGAAGCAACCCAGAAAATGGCAAACAGTCCCAGAAAAGGGGAGAAAGGGCAACTTACATCCGCATACCCACTAAACGTCTTCGTCAGCGACGTAACCACCACGTCGGCCACCGGCAACACATCGATATTACAAAACGACCCAACCGTATCGTCAATGACAACCGGAAAATCGTACTCATCAGCGATCTTCCTCAACCTCTCCAAATCCACACTAACCAACAACGGATTACTAGGAAACTCCACAAACAAATACCCCACCC